TAGTGACCTTCATGTCTCTTAGGATATAACCTCCTGAAATGCCGTGCTCAGCACGTTGATGGACTCTTGAGTATTTCCAGCAAAATCTCGAACTTCGTTGTTCCTGTTTGTAGCAAATCTATTGAGTATTTTAGGTTCAGGCATGTCAAACAAGAAGCAGCATCCCGTGATCAAATATATGGGATAGAAAATTTTATGGTCATAGCCAAGCTAGCACATCTTAGAGAAAATGTTGGAGGTTGCCAAAGGTTTAGTTTGGGTGTTCGACGTGGAGATTTAGAGTTAAAGAAAGTGAGTGGGTTATTCTCAATATTTTCTGCATGAGGATGCTATGTGAATTGTCAATAAAGGTAAAGTATGTGAAGTCACATTAGGCCTTATGAAATTTTGAAAGGAAATAGGCTAAACTATGAGTATGATGTTTCCCTATTATTGTTCTTCGTGTACCCGGTGTTTCATGTGTCTATGTCTAATAAGGTGAAGATAAGGGATAATGGGATTGTGAGGAGCAACTATTTGCTATCCTTGTTAGAAAAGTCCGGGAGTTGAGATTGTCTCCGTTAATGTGTTATGGCGAAATTGTTTTTGGAAATTTAGGGAGTTAGCCAAATTTTGAAACTACTGGTGTGTGTGAACCAACAGTTGAACCACACTGAATGCTAATGACAGATTTTGACCCTCATTCAAGGACGAATGATCCTAAGCGAGGGAGAATGTAACACCCAGGAAATTTTTGAAGTATTTCAGTGTAAAGCCCCATAATTTTGGCAAAGTGAATTCAAGGTTTCGTGGTGCCGGAGTAGGCTTACATGTTTGAGGATGGTATAAGATCTTCGCGGCTCGCAAGCTCACCGCGGTTCAGACTTTTTGGGTTGAATAATGCACTGAAAAGTAAAGGAAAATATTTGGCGGAAAAGCGTGTTTATACGGCCCATTATGCGGCCGCATAATGGCCGCAGAGTGAAGCAGTAAGTTTCGCCAGCTTGAGGTCCGTTTTGCGATCGATTATGCGACCGCATAATCGATATGCGGAATGCATATCGATCGCATAATCCCTCTTGAGTTTTTGCGGAGGAATTTCTGCGGTGCATTATGCGACCGCAGAACGAGTATGCAGACCGCATACTGGTCGCATACCTGAGCCGAAAGTTTAGGCCCCTGAGTGCCATTTCTGCGGTCACTTTGCGGACCGCATAACCATTATGCGGTCGCATATGCGACCGCAAACCTGTGTCGGGGCACCCATTTTCTTAATTTAAAACCCGACCCCCATTCCATTAAAATACCTCTTAGGTCTATTTTGAGCTCATTTTTAGATGTTTCTAGAGTGAGAGAGAGAGAGAGAGGGTTCAATAGGGAGGGTCTAAGTTTTCATCAAATTGATCTTCAATCATCACTCAAAGCCTTGGAAATATTCAAGTAGAGCACCAAAATTCTTCACCCTAAAAGGTAAGGCTTCATCACCCCAGCTCTTAATTTCAAACATAGCTATAATGGGGTATTAGTGTGATACTTCATGGGTATGAGGGTGGTTCATCTTGCATGCATGTGATAAAGAGTGTGGGAAAAATAAAAAGTGAACTAGAACCATGAACGTTTTCCTAATTTTGGGTTCAATTTGTATATTGCTAAAATAGATTGAGGTTGCTAAGGGTTCCGGATAATTGTAGAGTCTAAAGAAGCATGATTGAGGTATGTTGGCTAAAATTTCTCTCTTGGAATTGAATTCCATAATGTTTCTGTAAGTTTCAAAGTGTGGGTTACGTATTAAAAGGTTATGGCTTTGAGTCGTGTTTCAATGAAAGATAGAATTGTCTAAAAGCTTTTGTACTAAATTCATGCCCATTAGTGGCTGCTTTAACTAATGCTTTGATTTATAAATATATCCAGTGTGATTCGAGTTCTATATACTCATGTATTGAAATTGTACATTATCATTTCTGGGGGGAGAGTATTGCAAGAGTAAATGGTGTATTGACTGTTTATGATTTTTCATGTGTGTTTTTATTGTTGGTTGGTATGCTTCATTCTTTGGGAAGAAACCATTTGTGTTTGAAGTTTCCATTTCAAATGGATTTGAAGTATATACTTTATAAAATATCCTATATGTTGATACTTGATGGTGATCTTTGAATTTGAAAGAGGTGAAAGTGTGAAATATGAAATACGGCCATTGTGCCAGGAATAAAGAATCTTGTGAATGGCCTAATGAGCCAAGGAAATATTGTCGTTGTGAATGACCGGAAATACTAATGAGAATTCATACAATGTGGAAGATGTTGAGGTGAGTACAATTGTATTTATGATATTTCTGTTTGCAAATCAAATCAAAACTATTTTTAGGAGCATCATTAGCAATACCGAGGAAGGGTGAGTCATAAGGCCCACACCTAAAACTACACGTGCCGGTGTAGGAGTGGATTGTGATATTATTCCCCTTAATTGGGATGAAACTGGAACCTTTGTGGATTGGAAGAGTCAACTCGCACGGCATATGTGGGAAGGCGGCCTAGCTGATCGAGTGGAGATCAGACGCCATATTGCGCATATGGTGGTACTACTCTTGGTAACAACTTTCTTTCGCATCATATGTCAAACCACATTGTTCGTGGGGAGATGGCCTAGCCAATCGGACGTGATCGGACTCTGTGCTAACAAAACGGTGGTATATTGGTGCTAATGATCTCCCAACCAAAATTATATATGAAGTTTGTATTTTGGAAATTATTATGTTTTAACTGGATATTTGGATATTGTTGATCGTGACTTGTTGTTTCTTTGTGTTGCCTTTTCTTATATGGGCAGTCTATTTTGAAAGAGGATTTTTAGCCATACATACTAGTGCTATTCGATAGTACTAACGTCTATTTTGCCGGGGGCGCTGCATCTTTAATGGATGCAGGTGATTCTTCAGCAGGCGGCATTGATCAGTGATAGCAGTACACTCTTTTCAGCTGATTTGGTGAGCCCCACTTCATTCTGGGGTCATGTATCTTTTGCTTTTCATGTATAGTGTTTTGAGGTATAGCCGGGGCCTTGTTGCCAGCATTTCCATATTACTCTTCTATTGTATTTAGAGGCTCCGTAGACAGGTTGTGGGTTATGGTTGATGTTGGGAATTGAACTAGAAATGTTGGTACTTGAAAATTATGTTTTTTTCATTAATTCTATAAACTCGTACTGTTTTGGAAATTATGAATGAAGCAACTAATGGGAATGAAAAGGAAGTTGTTAATAAAATCTTTTCAGTGATTGATTAATGGAGTACATCTCCTCTTTATTCATGGATGAGTTTGGGTAGAAGTAAGTCTAATAGGCTTGCTCGGCCGGGTTCTCTCAGTTGAGCGCCGGTCGCGCTCCCAGAGTTTGGGGTGTGACATCTATATTAGTCCCAAGTTCTTTCAAAAGTGCTATCAACCAAACTACCCCTGAGACTGCACTAGCCATGCTTCTGTATTCTGCTTCAGCTGAACTTTTAGAGACTGTGTTATGTTTCTTCGATTTCCAAGAAAGTAGTGACTCTCCATACTTTACTATAAAGCCTGATACTGATTTCCTTGTGCTGGGGCAGGATGCCCAATCTGCATCACAATACACACTCAACTTATTGATGTTGTTACTGCTCAATAGAATGCCCATGCCTGGTTCTCTTTTAATATACCTTACTACTCCGAAGGCTGCTTCCCAATGAGACTTCTTAGGACTCTGCAAAAATTGGCTGAGTGTTTGCACTGAGAAGGCTATATCAGGTCTGGTGAGAGTTAGGTATTTAGGTATAACAGCTTACCAATAAGCCTTTGGTATTGCCCTTTGTCATTCATCAACATATCATCTTCAACCCCTGTTAACTTGTCAAGTTCTGGTATTGTTAGCTTTGCATTTGGCTCTACGGGAGTCCAAGTTGGCTTAGCCCCTGTAAGCCCCAAGTCAGATATTATTTCCAGAGCATATTTCCTATGATTAATTAATATGCCTTTCCTTGATCTACTAAATTCCATTCCAAGGAAAAATTTCAGTTCTCCTAAATCCTTAATTTTGAAGGCCTGGTGCAAGGAGTTCTTGGTTGCTTCAATGAGCTGTAAGTTGCTTCCTGTAACTAGCATATCATCCACATAGACTAGGATCACAACAATATCTTAATCTTGCTGTCTAATAAACAATGAGTGGTCTAGGCTTCTCTGATGAAAACCAGAAGATAAGAGGGCTTCTGTTAGTTTCAGATTCCATTGCCTACTAGCCTGTTTAAGTCCATATAGGGATTTTACAAGTCTACAGACCAAACCTGACTCCCCCTGACTTGTAAAGCCCTGTGGCAACTCCATATAGACCTTATCATGAAGATCCCCTTGTAAGAATGCATTGTATACATCTAATTGATGAACAAACCAATTATGCACAGCAGCAAGTGAGAGAACAGTCCTGACAATGGCTATTTTAACCACTGGCGAGAAGGTCTCATTATAATCTAATCCTCCTTTCTAATTATAGCCTTTAACTACTAATCTAGCTTTAAATCTCTCTACTTTTCTATTGGCCTTGAGTTTCACCTTGTAAACCCATTTGCACCCTATATGTCTCTTCCCTACAGGTAACTTGATCAATTCCCAAGTATTATTCTCCTGCAATGCTTGAATTTCTGCTTGCATTGCATCCACCCACCTTTGATTTTGAGAAGCCTGCTGAAAGTTCTTAGGCTCTATGATTGCTGAGAAAACTCCAAGATACAACTGATGGGATGATGATAATCTATCATATGTGATAGACTCTTCAATAGGATACAGAAATGAGCTAGTAGAAGGTTTGTTTTTGTTGGTGACATAGTCTATCATCCACACAGGTTCCTTGGATCCTCTCTGAGATCTTCTCAAAGGAACATTGGTGTCAGCACAGCTTGGTGTTGAAAGAGTTTCCTCTGTGAATGCACCTGAATTAGATGACTCATTCTCAGGAGCATCTCCGGGTGTTGAAGTATTCTGGGAGTCATTACCAGTTGCAGGATCAACTATGGTGCTGGAGTCTAAGTCCAATACAGGTGAACATGGTGTTATTGTGGTTGTGGGCACATTGTTATCATGGCATGGTGTCGTTGCAGGTATTGGTACACTGTGATCATCATGTGTGAGAAAAGGATCTACTGTCTGACTTGTCTCTACTGGCTGCAATTGAAATAGGAATACATCCTCCCTGAAAGTAACATCCCTGTTGGTAAAGAATATATGTTTTGACATATCATACAGAATGTAACCTTTAGTTACATTGGGGTATCCCATAAATACTGACTTTATTGCCCTGCTTGCAAATTTATCTCCCTTTGGCAATGTAGCAGCATAACATAGACACCCCATAGTTCTTAAGTGACCGATAGAAGGTCTCTTGTTAAAGAAAACCTCATAAGGTGATTTCCCTTGAAGGACTACAGATGGTAGTTTGTTAATCACATAAGCAGCAGCTAATATGCAATGGCCTCAAAACTTGAGAGGAATATACCCCTGAAACTTTATTGCTCTAGCAACCTCAAGTAAATGTCTGTGCTTCCTTTCTGCTACCCCATTCTGTTGGGGTGTGTACAAACATGTTTTCCGGTGTATAATTCCCATTGTAACACATAGTTCCTGCATTCCTGAACTCATAAACTCCCCTCCATTATCTGATCGAATTGTTTGAATCACAACATTGAATTGAGTTCCAACCATTTTAATAAAGTTCCTCAAAACTATGATGACATCTGATTTTAACTTCAACAAAAAAATCCATGTCACACGAGAATAGTCATCCACAACAGTTAGGAAGTATTTATTTCCATCAAAAGTTTGTGTAGTACAAGGACCCCATACATCTAAATGTAAGAGTTGAAACACCTTATTTGATCTACTAGTACTCAAAGAGAAAGGTGATCTGTGATGCTTAGCTAATGGACATACTTCACACTTATCTACTACATACTGAGAAGTATCTAAATTGTATCCTAGGAGCTTCTTCATTGATCCTCCTGAAGCATGTCCCAGTCTCTTGTGCCAGACGATTGCCTCCAGTTTATTCTCTTGTGCTATTAGTCCCTCTGTATTCTCCCTTTCTTTTATTTTTGCTGGATTACTTGTTTGTGAAACCAGCAAATAAAGTCCATTCCTTTCTTTACCAATCCCCTTTACCTCCCCAGTGAAGAGGTCCTGAATAAACAAAAATCAGGATAGAATGCAACTAAGCATCTAAGAACTCTTGTGACTTTGGAAACAGACATGAGATTGTACTGAAAATCTGGTATAAACAGAACATTTTTTACTTCCCATGTGCCTGTTATTCTGCAGTTACCAATATGTGTAACATGTGCTATTTCTCCATTTGGCAAATTAACCTTCTTAGTGTCTTTAACATCGACTGCTTTAATATTACTTAACAAGCTTAGGTCTGCAACCATATGATTGGTTGCACCTGTATCTATTATCCAATGAGCTTTTGCTACATCAACAAGAAATGAGTAAGCAGTATTACCTGCCATGTTGGCCACATTCTCCTATGCTTGTTCATGGTTGGTATTGAGACTCAGCATTTTCATTATCTGATCATACTGTTTTGCAGTCAGTTGTGGTGCTCTGGCCATTTCTCCTTTATTACAACCATCAAGTTGTCCAGTGTTTCCTGCATTCCCAGTCCCTATGTTTGGATTAGTATATTTAGCACACACACTATATGCAGTGTTCATGTTCATCTTTCTTTTTCCTTTGAAACCTTCCGGGTATCCAATCAACTTGTAATACTCTTCCTTGGTATGTCCATTCATTTTGCAATAGTCACATTGAACATTCTAATTCCTCTTTGGAATATGATAGTTCTGATATGCATAATATTTACCAGCTAAAAGAGCTGCATGTTCATTTCCATCCCCTGCTGTCATTGTGTTAGCTACTGTCATGTGACTCTCTCTTTCAACTAGCATCGAGTATGCCTTGTTTATGCTTGGAGTTGGACTAGTCATCAGAATCTGGCTCCTAGCTTGCTCATATATTTCGTTTAATCCCATTAGGAACTGAAGAACTTTCTGCTTTTGCATGAACTCAATGAAATTTTTAGATCTCGCACAGTCACATGGAGGTGGCACCATGTTGTCAAATTCATCCTAGAGGTTGTGCAATTTAGAGAAATACACTGATACACTGTCTGTTCCTTGTGTAATTGTTGTTATCGCCTTGTGTAACTGATAGACTCGTGAAGTATTCACTTTGTCAAATCGCTCTCTTAGATCTTCCCTAACAACCCTAGCATTTTTGGCATAGACTATTCATGTTATCAATTCCTTCAATACTGAGCTCATTATCCATCATAGGACTATAGCGTTACAACGATCCCATTGATGACCTAGTTCATCATCAAAATCACCCTTTTACAGAGTCCCGTCGACCAGTCCTAGCTTTTTCTTACCAAGCAGTTGGATCTCCATCGCTCGACTCCAAGTAGTGTAGTTATCTGAACCAGTCAGCTGGATTGATATTATCGGCGCTCTTGTTGTATCTGAAGGATGAAGAAATAGTGGATGATTGTGATCCAATTCTGTCCTTGCCGCCATTATTGAACTCGCAATTTCTGCAATTCACTTGTATATGAAGCAGGATCTTCCAAAATCAATAATTCACACTCGCAATTGTGATGAGAGCTCTGATACCATGTTAATTTGGGAGCAATCTATGAACCCTAATTGACAGAATCGAATTGGTGAAGAGAGTGTAGAGAGAGAAATATTTCATGAAGGAAGATGACTTCATTTTTTGTATTAATTATTTGTATAGTGTATGTGCATGTATATAAAACTACTAATGAGTGCTTTCCCACTAACTATCTAACAAACTATCTAACCACCTAACTAACTTTAATAATCTAGAATATTCCTACACATCTACACACCTACTATGTCACAACAGTTATCAGTCGAGCATTCAGATGGCACCGTATGAGGCTTTGTATGGTAGGCATTGTTGGTCTCTAGTGGGTTGGTTCGAGCCGGGCAAGGCTAGATTATTGGGTACAGACTTGGTTCAGGATGCCCTGGATAAGGTGAAGGTAATTCAGGATCGACTTCGCACAGCCTAGTCCAGACAGAAGAGTTATACGGACCGGAAGGTTCGCGATGTTGCATTCATGGTTGGAGAGCGGGTCCTTCTCTGGGTTTCGCCTATAAAGGGCATTGTGAGGTTCGAGAAAAAGGGAAAGCTGGCCCCGAGGTTTATCGAACCATTTGAGGTGTTGCGGAGAGTTGGAGAGGTTGCTTATGAGCTTGCCTTACCTCCCAGTTTAGCAGGAGTCCATCTAGTATTCCATATTTCTATGCTTCGGAAGTATCATGGTAATCCGGCTCATGTGTTGGATTTCAGCTCAGTCCAGTTGGACAAAGATCTATCTTATGTTGAGGAGCCAGTGGCTATTTTGGACATGCAGATTAGAAAGCTGAGGTCAAAGAATATTGCTTTCGTGAAGGTTTAGTGGAGCGGTCAGCCGGTCGAGGAGGCAACTTGGGAGACCGAGCGGGATATGCGCAGCCGTTATCCTCATCTTTTCACCACTTCAAGTATGTCTCTATACTTGTTCGAGGACTAACGATTGTTTTAAGAGGGGGGGATGTAACGACCCGGCCAGTTGTTTTGAGAGTTATAGCCCCGATCCCCTATTTACTACTTTCCCCGTATCTGTTTCAGCTTATGTGACTTGCCGGGAGGTTTTGTTTTGGTTTTTGGGGTGTTTTGGGACACTTAGTCCCTAAATGGAAGCTTAAGCCTTAGGATTTTGACCATAGTTGGAACTGTGTGAAGACGATTTCGAAATGGAGTTTCGTCGATTCCGTTAGCTCCATTGGATGATTTTGGACTTAGGGGCGTGTCCAGATTGTGTTTTGGAGATTTGTAGCTCATTTAGGCTTGAAATGGCGAAAGTCGAATTTTTGGAGATTTTGACTGTTAGTGAACTTTTTGATATCGGGGTCGAAATCCAATTCCAAAAGTTGGAGTAGGTCCGTAATATCTAATATGACTTGTGTGCGAAATTTGAGGTCAATCGGACGTGATATGATAGGTTTCAGCATCGGTTGTAGAAGTTTAAAGTTTCGAGTTCATTAAGTTTGAATCGGAGGGTGATTCGTATTTTTAGCGTTGTTTAATATGATTTGAGGACTCGACTAAGTCCGTATGGTGATTTAGGACTAGTGGGTATGTTTGGTTGAGGTCCTGGGGGCCTCGGGATGATTTCAGATGGTTAACAGATCAAATTTGATTTTGGAAGAATAGTTGAAGTTGTTGCACCTCGTATAATCGCACCTGCGCAACATTGACCGCAGGTGCGAGCCAATGGACGCAGGTGTGGTTTGGAAGGAAGAGGCCAGAGTTCGCAGGTGTGGAGGTATAACCGCATCTGCGCATCCGCATATGAGAAAGATGGAGCGTAGAAGCGGAAGGGGCCAGGGCGTGAGGGATCGCAGAAGCGGAAGAATTCCGCATAAGCGAAAGAATTCGGCAGAAACGGGTGCGAAGGTGCGGCCCATGACTCGCAGATGCGGACCCAGTCCCTTTAAGTCATTTCCACACCTACGATGGAAATTCCGCAGGTGCGGCGTTGCAGGTGCGACTATGGGCCACATGTGCGAGATTTCTGGACATAACACTTAAATGCAAGGGTTCGCGTTATTTTACCTTAACATTTTGAGCTCGGGTTTGGCGATTTCTTGAGAGCATGTTTTAGGGATTTCTTGAGGTAAGTCGCTTGTGCTTATTTTTAATCAATAATCTTGCTTCCCCATTTATTTTTCCACCTAGTAAGTGTGTATTTAAGGTAGAATTTGGGAGTTGAGACTAGGGATTTGGAGAGTTTAATTTGAGGATTTGAAGGACCATTTGGTGTCGGATTTTAGGAAATTTGATATGGTTAGACTCGTGAGTCAATGAGTGTTCATATTTTGTAACTTTTACCCGATTTCGAGACATGGGCCTAGGTCGACTTTTTAGGGTGAATTTCCAAATTTTTGTTAAAGTATTGATTTCATTAATTAGATGAGCCTATTATAGTTGTATTTATGAGATGCAATTTTGTTTGGCTAGATTTGGGCCATTCGGAGTCGGATAATCGAGGAAAGGGCATTCTTACGGATTGATTAAGCTTGGTTCGAG